AAAAAAAATCTCAGTGTGGGAAAGAATGTTAAAAATCATAAAATCCAAAAAATCCTCCAATGCTTTCCCAAAAAAAACAAACCCACTGCTGTCAAGTCGATTCTGACTCATAGCAACCCTACAGGACAGAATACAGCTGCCCCATAGAGTTTCCAACCCTGTGATTTTTTTTACGGAAGCAGACTGCCACATCTTTCTCCTATAGAGCGGCTGGTGGGTTCCAACCACTGACCTTTCGGTTAGCAACTGAGTGCTTTAACTACTGTGCCACCAGAGTCCCCTCTAATTGAGTTGGGTTGTTGGTAATTGTCTTTGCAGGAGCCCTGGTGGCACAACAGTTAAGTGACTGGCTGCGAACCGAAAGATAGGAAGTTCAAACCCACCAGCCACTCTGTGGGAGAAAGATGTGGCAATCTGCTTCTGTAAAGATTTACATTCTTGGAATTCTTGGGCAATTCTGCTTTGTCCTATAGGGTTGCTAGGAGTTGGAATTGACTCAATGGCAATGTTTGCTGGGTTTGGAATTGTCTTCACAAGTTGTTTTTGTTGAACATCTGCAGCGAGGGAAGCAGATTTCTTCCTAAGAAAGCCCATCACCAATAGACAGTAATGACTGTGCTGGGCAAAAATAAGAAAGAAGGAGGGAGTAGAAGAGAAAGAAATCAAGAGCAGAGGAGAGAAAAGGAGGAGAGAGCTACCGCTTATTGAGTACTCACTCCCTCAGCCCTGTGCTAATGTGATTACCAACATGTTGTAAGATTTGTTGGGTTTGTGGTCTAGAGTCAAGCAGTGTACGTGAACAGGGTTAACACAGTGGCACTTTAGCAGAGTCCAAACCCCTAGCTTTTTCAGTAATATCCTGTCTATATTTCCTCACTTCTGCTGAAGAGGTAGAGGAAGAGACAGTGGCTTCATACCAGGATAAACAACAACAAAAAACCAAACCCATTACTGTCAAGTTGATTCCTATTCATCGCGACACCATGTGTTACCGAGTAGAGCTGCTTCAAGAGTTTTTTTGGCTGTAATCTTTACAGAAGCAGATCTCCAAGGCTTTCTTCTGTGGTGCCGCTGGGTGGGTTCAAACTGCCAACCTTTAGGTTAGTAGTTGAGAACAAACCATTTGTGCCACCCCGGATCTTCCATACTAGGGTAGGGAGGTCAGAATCACTGATCTCTCTGCTTCTTTGAAAGCCCTGTCGGTGCAGACCTGGTGGCCGAAGAATTGCTCTTCCCTTAAAGGCTCACCTCTCTTTGTGCTTGAGGAGGGTTTTGAACCTAGGCCTGTTAACCAGGCTTCACTGCCTTTCTAGTCAGTTCTCTGGGCCTGCTTTCATCCACTTTCCCTTCTTCATCATGCCTTGCTACACTGCATCCTGGTGATGCAGCAGCCCCACAGAAGAAATGGTAGAAAGGATGCGGTAATTTCCCTGTGCACATTCTCAAAAAGGTGGTTTTATATATATTTAAGGTAATAGGTTGACCTGATTTTTTTTAAGATTATAAAGAAAGGATACAAAGGTGGCAGTGTGAAAGTAAGTCCAGTGGACAGCCAGTCGAAGAGTGTGAGTCTTTCTGGGATTACTCCCTCACCAACCAACAAAGCATTGCCCTGAAATTAAAACGTGGACTAGAGGCTGCCATGTAGAACCTTTCCACTCTTCCCCTTCCTCTGTCAGATAATGCAGCATAGCCTACATTTCGCATCTGTGGTTCCCAGGCCCCATGAGAGGCTGTGTTAATGGTGAGGAGTGAGGGCTCCAGAGCCAGCCTGAATCCCATCTCTGCCATTTTCTAGCTGATGACCATGAGTACATTATTTAATCTCTCAGTGCCTCCATGCAGGAGCCCTGGTGGTGAAGTGATTAAGTGCCTGGCTGCTAATCGAAAAGCTGGTGGTTCAAACTACCATGGAAGAAAGATATGGCAATCTGCTACCATAAAGATTATAGCCTTGGAAACCCTATGGGGGCAGTTCTACTGTGTCCTATAGGGTTGCCATGAGTTGGAATCGACGGCAACAAGTTTTGGTTTTGGTGCATCCATGCAAAGCATGCCTTCGTCGGTAAAGTAAGGATAATGAGAGTACCCCCCACATAGGGTTGTCATGATGATTAAATTAGTTATATATTTTCAGCTCTTAGAACAATGCCTGGAACAGAGTAAGTAATGTCATCATCATCATCGTTAGCAGCAGCAACAGCAGCAGCAGCAGCAACAGCAGTATCCAGAAGTCTGGCCATGTTCTGCCAGAGCTGAAGCCCTCTCTCAGAGGTCTCAGATCGTTACTTGTGCATTGCAGGGGATGGAAGGAAGTGCTTTCTTTGCACCATCCTCATGTTCCCCGTGTTCCACTGGGTATGCTCTGGGCACCAGGACTGCAGGTCAGCCTAGATTCCAGGTTAGTCTGAGAGTCACTTAGAAAGCTGGACTGACTGCTCCACAAAATGGTACCCAGTACTCTGGATCAATGTTAAAATGGGATCAATGTATTGCCAAAAGGCTGTTGGTATGCTAAGAGATAGCAGGAACAGGAACAACTTAATTACTCACATAATTACATGCACACACGCGCACACACACACACACACACACACACACACACACACACACACACACACACACTGCAGGGTGCTGCAAAGGAGATCTGGGATTCATGGCTAATGTCTCCTTTAAAGTAAGGGCAATTCCTTGGTTAAATTTAAGTAATGTCAGCAGCCCTGAATAGCCAGTGATTTCTCAGTCTTTGCGTTTATATGCTTCTTGCATGTGCTAGGCATATGTTAATTTCTTCTCCAAGCCAGTATCCCATTTTACAGGTGAGACACTGTCTCAGAGAAGTTAAGCAACTTGTTGAAAGTCTAACTATTATAAAGCAGAGCCTCTGGCTTTGTTTAGGGCTCTGTAGCTACTCTTGGTAACTCCCTCAGTATTATACTCATAGAGTCCTTTCTGTTCCTACTCCTGGGTTTTCCCATCTCCACTTGCAGCAACTTGGTCCCTCTTTAATTATCATTCCTAAGAAGATATGGAGCCTTGGTGGCGCCATGGTTAAGAGCTCAGCTGCTAAAGGAGAATGAAGAACACCAAAGACACAAGGAAGGTATTAGCCCAAGAGACAGAAAGGGCAACATAAACCAGAGACTTCATCAGCCTGAGACCAGAACTAGATGGTGCCTCGCTACTACCAATGACTGCCCTGACAGGGAACGCAACAGACAGTCCTTTACAAAGCAGGAAAAAAGTAGGGTGCAGAATTCAAATTCTAGTAAAAAGACCAAACTTAATGGTTTGACTGAGACTGGAGGGACCCCAGAAGACATGGCCCCTGGACTCTCTGTTAGCCCAAAACTGAAACCATTCCCGAGGCCAACTCTTCAGACAAAGATTAGACTGGACTATGGGACATAAAATGATACTCGTGAAGAGTATGCTTCTTAGCTCAAGTAGATGCATGAGACTAAATGGGCAGCTACTGTCCAGAGGCGAGATGAGAAGGCAGAGAGGGTCAGGAGCTGGTTGAAAGGACACGGGAAATCGGGTAGAAAGGAGGAGTGTGCTGTCACAGTATAGGGAGAGCAACTAGGGTCACATAACAATGTATGTATAAATTTTTGTATGAGAGACTAACTTGAATTGTAAACTTTCACTTAAAGCACAATAAAAAAATTTTAAAAAGAGCTCAGCTGCTAACCAAAAGGTGGGCAGTTTGAATCCACCAACCACTCCTTGGAAACCCTATGGGGCAGTTCTACTCTGTCCTGTAGAGTCGCTATGAGCTGGAATCAACTCCACAGCAATGAATTTGGTTTTTGTTTTTGTTTTTGTTTTTGTTAAGAAGGTACAGATTCAGTAAAAGGGAGTTGAGAATACTAAAGTAGGTAAAAGACTCTGCCTGTGGGCACAGCAGTGTTTTCTTGCCCCTGGGCTTTGTAGTGGGGTTTTGACCAAGATGAGATTGAGAAGACATGAGTTTCCTTATCTCATTCAAAAGGACCCAAGGCTATCTTACACATATGCCTCAGGCCTCCTGGTTCTGACTCTTCTTCTCCCATTTACTGCAGCCCTAGATGAAATCTATTTAATGGCCTGGTTTTATCTATTTAAAGTTGTAAGAGAAAGCACATCTGGGTGTAATCCCTGGGTTACACTAGCATGGCTGCTGACCTCAATATCAGAAAATTTTAACCTCACTCACATGATTTTTCTCTTGCTTACCAGTTACCAGTGACTGTGAAGTGGACTCCAATTCATGGCAACCTTACATTTTATAGGGTTTTCGATGGCTGATTTTTCAGAAGATCACCAGGCCTTTATTCTGAGGCACCCCTGGGTGGACCTCCAACCTTTTGGTTAGCAGTGAGAACATTAACAGTTGGCACTACCCAAGGGCCCGTTTTCTGTTGCTAGTGCCATGGAAAGCAAAACAGAAATAAGAAACTTACTAAGAAGTTGAAAGAACAGGAATACAAAACAGATATGATAGGAGCCATTTCCCTAAAGATAAACAGTGCTTGTGGAGGAAAGGGGTAGGCTTCTTTCTCCTAGGCCCTGTGTTCTCTAGGTTGTCTCTGAGAGTGCAGGAACCCTCTGGAACGTTCCTTTCATGCCCCTCTTTGTCTTCCTTTTAGATCTTCTTTCTTCTTTTCCATAACTCCTCAGATTACCATAGTACATTCAGGAGGGCCTTTCTTTGTGTTCCCTTCCCTTTGTTTTCCTCTTCCCTTCTCTTCTTCTGTTCCCTGCTTTCTCCAAAGCCTGATCTTGCACCTGATGAAATACAGGGTAGAAGAAGCAAGAGGGATCAAAGTGGTCACAGGTTCTTATTCCAAATTCTTTTCTTTCCCATTTCAGGTCCTGAAAGGAAATATGACCAACTCCCCCCACCCCAAAATTAAAAAAAAAAAAAAAAAAAAACTCTCCAAAACCAGGATGGGGAATGAAGATCACTCATGGTCAGTCTGTGTTCTATGTGTAAGCTAGAACTTTCTACTTTTTGCATGTTTTGTCACTATTTCTAGGGAAGCAGAGGCATGGTGATCCCCTCTTGGGAAAACCAAACAACCATAGTGGAATTTGTGCTTCGAGGATTCTCTTCCATCTGACAGCTAAATATTTCTCTCTTTGTGATGTTTTTAGTTTTTTACATCTTAACTGTCTCTGGAAACATCTTCATTGTCCTGTTAGTTTTATTCAGCCATCACCTCCACATCCCCATGTACTTCTTCTTGGTGAACCTGTCCTTTCTGGAGATCTGGTATGCCTCTAACATCGTCCCCAAGATGTTGCTGATTATTATAGCCAAGCAGAAGACTATCTCTGTGGCTGGCTGCCTGACACAGTTCTACTTCTTTGGATCCTTGGCTGTAACAGAGTGTCTTTTGCTGGCTGTGATGTCCTACGACTGCTACCTGGCCATCTGCCAACCTCTCCGCTATCCCATCCTCATGACTGGCCCCCTCTGTATCAAGCTGGCTGCCAGTTTTTGGCTCTGCTGTTTCCTCCTCACAGCAATCACAATGGTCCTACTGTCTAGACTAACCTTCTGTAGACCCAGTGAAATTGACCACTTCTTTTGTGACTTCACACCTCTGGTCCATCTCTCTTGCATGGACACCTCACTTACTGAGACAATTGCCTTTGCCACCTCTTCTGCAGTGACTCTAGTCCCATTTCTCCTCATCATAGCCTCCTATTCTTTCATCCTTGCTGTTATTCTAAAAATCCCATCTGGCACAGGCCGGAGAAAGGCATTCTCCACCTGCTCCTCCCACCTCACAGTGGTCACAGTATTTTACGGGACACTGATTGCCATGTACCTGGTGCCCTCAGTGAACTCTTCACAACTCTTGAGCAAAGCGTTCTCTCCACTCTACACCATCCTGACACCCATGTTCAACCCAATCATTTACAGTCTGAGAAACAGAGATATCCATGAAGCTCTGAAGAGGTGCTTGAGTAAGAAATCAGGTTTCCTCAAATGATGCAAAAAGCAAAACAGCTGTGTTTGTCCAAGGGCTGATGAACTAGATTGAGTCATTTAAATTCTACACGCAAGGAGGTTAACAACGAGCTACCTAAGCCAGTTGACCAGAAGCCTCTGAGTATGGCTGTGGACACTGCTGAGTTCTGACAGCCTCAAGTGAACTGGTGTCCCAGAATATGATCTAAGCAGGTTAGACTCTGCTCCATCATCTCCAGTAGGTCTGGCTTCTTGTGTAAAAGACCATATCCAAAATGAACTGGTAAGGCTGGTCACTCATCCTTTCAAATATTCATTGAGGGTCTACTATGTTCAAGGCAGTATGCCAGATTTAAGTCGCAAAATTATAGCTAAGAACACATAAAGTCCATGATCTCGTTGAACTCACAGTCTATGGGGTAAGAAAAGCATTAATCAAATAACTAATGTAAAATTACATACATTAATATAAAATTATACTTGTGATTCAAATTATATTAATAAGATGTTAATTGTATATCAAGAATGTAGAGCCTCAGTCTCTTTCTTTGAAACAGATTTGGAGAAAATGAAGACTTGTGGAAATGAAGCTAGGCACAGGATCCACAAAAATATCTCCAACACTCTGACTCCCCTGCTGCCATAGTGGCAGCTCAGTTGGAAGTTGAGGCTTCTTATTTGTTGAGTACTGCCGCCTCCTGTCAGGCCGTCTTCCAAGGATCCTGCTGCAACTCGCTCCCCTTCCTTCTGGCGCATACTCTCAGCAGTTAGAACATAGGATGTGGTGGGTGTGTGCTTGTTCTTTGCTCTGTGCAATTCTAAAGCCCTAAATTGACTTGAGTAGAAAAGCTGAAGTCAGCCTTGCACACTTAGGTGCTAATGCCTCCGTGTCTGACTCCTACAAATTATACCCCTCGCTTCCCCAGTGCCAATCCTATGAGGCAGTTCTTTTTTGTCCTCTAGGGTCACTATAGTCAGAATTGACTCGATGGCAATAGGTTTGGTTTTTCTGGTTTCCCCAGTGCCAAGGACAGTGTTGCCTCTTGTCTAAACTTTTATCTTGAAGCTTTGTTCTCTTTTAGAGTTAAGCAAACTGATTGTGTTCACCATACATGTAGGTTACTCACGACTCTGGCTGGGAAACAGCACATACGGGGCTGCACTGGATGTCTGAACACATTTTCAGGGCTTGCTTTATAACGAATGAATTACTCACTTTTTATTCCTCTTATAAGCTAGGAAAATATGTGAGATCATCTTAAGGTTGTTGTTGTTAGGTGCCATCGAGTCGGTTCCGACTCACAGTGACCCTATAGGACAGAGTAGAAATGCCCCATAGGGTTTCCAAGGAGCGGCTGGTGGATTTGAACTATTGGCTTTTTGGTTAGCAGCGGAGCTCTTAACCAGTACGCCACCAGAGCTCCTATCTTAGGGAACTCACAATGAAAAGGAAAATTGTCAGCTTTCATTTATCCTCGGGTGACTCATCTGCAGCAAGTGTTAATATCAGAATAGCTTTTGAGGAAGATGTCTAGGGAAGCAGTTTTCAGTGTCACGTGCAAGTTTTGGATTCAAGCTCTGCCATTTTCTAGCAGTACGGCTTTGGGCCAGTTATTTAAACTCTCCAATGTTAGCCTTACTGATCTGGAAAAGAGGAAATGTTATACCTATCTCATCCTGTGTTTAAGTGAGAAAATGTTCCTATGGGCACTGTCTGCCCCAGAGAAAGAGCTCAATAAGTGGTAGCTCTTGTAACTCTTCTTCCAGGTTCCACCTCTCACACCAATCCCACCCAAGACTATTATCCAGTAGGGATACATTTTTAATATTATGGGGTGATAAAAGCTCACAAGTTTTAAGGTCCATCTCATTTCACAGATGAAGGAAGTAATACCTGAAGGGACTAGGTGGACTTTCCCTGGGTAATTATAGAACAAAGACTGAACCCAGCACTTCTACTTCTAAGTCCAGGCCTCTCTTCCCAATACCACACCACCTACAAACTCAGTGAATTCTTTTCTTGCCCAGTGACATGTAAGGAACTCCCTTTTAATACACCAGAATTGCCTGTAGGACTACTATTTTGTTACACGTGGCAGGGAGAGAGTATATAGTGTATTACAGCATATGCCAGAGCTGTTGACCCCCACCCCCTACCCCAAACCCCACAGTGCACCCCTACAAGGTCACAGCCTCACATCAGGCAATAAAGTCTTAGAATTTTTGTAGATGGCACAGCACAACTGCTGTCAGCTGGTAGAAACATTTCCCCACTATTCTTCCACAGGAAGCCTCAGAAAGATAGTGACAACCTTGCCTCCTGAACTTGCAGGTGGGAAGAGGAGATGTTGGGTATAGAACTGGCTTCCTATTTCAACTGAGATATGACAATGAAACACAAAGCCAGAAGACTTTCCTTCCATGGCAGTGTGGGGTGCAGGAAAAGAGGAGCCACATCTTTAGTCCCACAGTTGAAAGTAAACCAACACTGGCAAGGAACCCAAGGGTCTGGTCACCTGAACCAGTGGTTTTCTATACTTAGGCAAAGTACCTAAGAGGTCACCAAGGGGGAAAGAGGGTGAGCAGTCTCTGAACCCTGCCTTTATGCTCCCAGAGTAGTTCTGCTTTTATCTATCTTATTTATTGCTGTTCCATTTAAAACTTCATTTGAATAAAGACTTCTGCTGTTAAACATGCATACACATATTTGGGCAGATGTACAGACACACACACACACGTAATTTTTCTTTACTAGCTCTTTCCTTTCATTATGGCTGTCCTTATGTCCTGCTGAAAAATGTACAAAAACAAGGGGGTCATGTTTGAGTTAATTTATGCCCTGTGAGGTTAGAGACAATTGATGTGCCCTAGCTGAGGTAAGAATAAGAAGAGTGTCTCTGGAGGAGGCCACAGCTCCTGGAATGACCAGCTTCTGTAGATGATTTTATACGTCACAGTTGTTAGGACTGAAATTTTTAAGCCTCCTGAATCTCTGTAAACAACTTCTTTTGTACAAGTTGAGTTTCAAAGCAACACTTGCTAATGACTCCCCAAACTTATCAAGGATGCCTGCCCTTGTGGGCACCGGATGCCCCTAGATTGTATGGCCACATCCTGGCGTATTTGTTCTTTGAGGCTCAGGAGTGAATTGGCCAGCAAAAAAGAGCTCTTGTCATGCACAGACTTAGTCAACCTCCTTCTGAAGAGAAGAAAAGCGAAAGCTACAGTTCCTGATTCTTGTGCCAAGGCTATGCGGTTCTATCACAAGGCTGTGATAGATGGAAGAGGATAGACATGTACAGTCAAGGGTGAAAAGGGAGAGGGGAGGTCATAGCCACTGCTGCCATCACAGGGAGCAGTTGTGTTTGCTGAGAGACCTCTCAGTCTATCCTTTCTGAGCTCAGGGCAGAAGGACAAGAAAGCCCATCCAGTCTGGGTTGCAGCAGTGTCCTCCAGTCTTAGTGGTTTCCCACTGACCCACATCCACTTGAGATCAAAGAAGGTGAGCTGTTGATAACAGAGAGTCCCAACTATCATGCTGAGATCAAGGGTCAACAGTACAAGGGGACAGTTCCTTGTGTATCCTCCTGGGGTCTGACTGTCTCCTAACCACTGAGCAAGTCAAAATTTGTGATATCTGCTTAGTCTTTGCTAGCTGAGAGACCTGGGGCAAATCTCTCAACTGCTTTAGGTCTCAGGCTCCAAATCTGAAAAATCAGAAAGATTGTCTAGGTATTGTCTAAGGAATATATTGAGAATAGTAGCTAACATTCATATCGAATTTTAAACTTTATAAAACTTTTCAACACACAGTTTTACATTTAGTCCTCATTTGGTCCTCAGAAAGTAGAAATTATCCCCATAGCACAGATGAAGACACTAAAATTCGAAGATGCTAAATGACTTCCTCAAAGTATCTCTGTGAAGGCCTTCTGGTTCCCAACCTTGTCTTATTTCCGTTACATCATTCTAGCTCTAAGACTCCATAATTCAGGGCTTCTTTTCTGGGTATGTTTTTGGTACAGACACAATAATCACTTACAGTACTGTCTTGCCTTTTGGGCTTAATCCAATGTGACATGGACTGGCAAACTTGCATCCATGGAAACATCCTGCTGACACCATTGTTCCAAATGCCATACTGTCAAACAGTCTGACACTTTTTTACATCATGTCTGTGATATATTATGGCTACTGGATTTAGGCTTTAGGAATGATGTGGGCTCTAGGCAATATATACGCAATTTCTGAAACCCAGATTTTTAGTTCATTTCTCAATATGAATGATTTTTTTGAAACTCCAGAAAAATCTAGATGGTATGAAGACAAACGTTTTAATTTTAATCACTTATACTTATTTCCAAGGTATATTTCATAACAGCAATTAAATTTTGTAAATAATTTTTTTTTTGAAAAATGATATTCTATTGTACTCTCCTGGTGCCATAGTGGTTAAGAGCTTGGCTGCTAACCAAAAGGTCAGCAGTTCGAATCCACCAGCCACTCCTTGGAAATCCTATGGGGCAGTTCTACTCTGTCCTATAGGGTTGCTGTGAGTTGGAATAGACTCAACAGCAAATGGTTTGGTTTTGGGGGTTTTTGGTCTTCAAAACTAGAATTTTAGAGTCTATAAGCAAAATCCAATGGGTGACTAGTTAAATTTAAACTCCCACTTGAAGCTTCCAATCTTGAAATTCTCATAAACTTCTATGTCCCTCCAAACTCTAATATTCTTGCTTGCTTGAGTAACTTGCTGGAATAAGCTTGAGAATTCTATCTGTAGTCTTCTCATATTTCATGTGAGTATTCTCAATAATAAAAACAGGTACACTCACTTGTTTAGAAGTCCAAAAAAAACTAAATGGAGATTCAATGATCTCTCCAAATCTATAGGAGTCTTTTGTCCATTCAGAATTCATTTTGACAGGTGTTATTACATGATAATGGAGCACCCATTATCATGCTTTATCTGGCCAAGTTCAACTTTTCTGTTCCATTGTCACATATGATGTTTGATCAATA